GTGACTAAATTAATAGCGGTACATACATTTCCCGGACCCCGCCTCGAATCCCTTTAATAACGCTAAAATTAGTAATAGCCAGTCATTCTTAAAATATATTCAGTTTGGCCTAAATAGACCTATCTACAAAGGAGTTTACGCGCTATCTACAAAGGGGGTTACACGTTATCTTCAAAGAAGAATCTCGTAATGATGAGAGAGAGAGAGAGCAATAACTCTCGTGTGTCACACTGCTCGCGGCGTGAGGAACCGTCTCATTTTTATTGTGTCGATAATATTGAGACGACCTGGCGAAATTTTACACCGCGTACAAGCAGAGAGAAAGAGAGGAATGCAGACGGCGCTTCCCAATTTGCGTCGGTGTGCTAAAATATCGCGTGCAGCCAATACAAAGCAGTTTGCTACACGTAGTAATAAATCCTGATTTCGATCAGACACATTGCAAACGTTACATCGGTGTTAACTACGCATTAGGGCTTTACAACCAAATTTACGATTTCCTCGTGTTACCTGACCGTGATCTTCGGAACGTGATCTTCGCCGCCTCGATGTAAAATCGCAAAATGTATCTATTCAATAGTCCGATACCATCGTTTTTTTTTTCATATCGCGCATGTTATCGATTAAATTCCTTCTTTAATTTCTGGTATAACGCCCGTGATGTATCTGACCGATTTCTCAAAGAATCAGATCACCAGTTTTACGAGAATTCAGTTTGTATTTTCGTGACGATTTAATAATTTCGATGTTAATCTTTTATTATCGTATCTCAGTAATAAAAGGAGGGAAAATATAACCGCAGCTCGGGTTACGTTTAACTCGAATAAACGTGAGCCTAGCTAAATGGGACAATATCTATCATTGGCTGCCGCGCCTTTCCTATCTCCGGCCCTACCCTTTCGGTCATCAGGGGTTGTCCTGGTTACTCCGAAAGTAGCCGTTTTCTAGGAGCTGATATTCCAGTATTGTCAGACAATCTTTATTGGGCAGAGTCACGAACGGAAATCTGAGACTTTTTGATTACACATCTGATAGGTCTCACGTCTTTCTTTCTCTCCATTAGAGCGTTTATTAAATTTTTCTCTCTTTCTTTCTAACGGCACGTTACGAATCATTCGTTCTCGTCGGCTGAAGCGTCTCATGCCGGCTCGCGCGAGCCGTATTTACGGACTTCGCGTGTCGTCGTCATCACCGCCCGCGCCGCCGCCGAGTGACGATCGATTCGCGTCTATAAATCGTGCAATTAGGCGCGAACGAGCCGTCACTTTCCTCACCGACGTTGGCAGCGACGTCGGGGCGAGTCATTCGCTCGCGCGCAAATTTATTCGAACGGCGAATCGCGTCAGGTTGCGTCGGTGCTTCTGTTACGAGCGGGCAGGGACTGCTACATTATCTCGCTTAAGGTATCAGGGTGAGGCGGTGTCGCTTCGCAAGGTCGCGATGTATTATGAATGCGTGGGGCTAGAGGCATGCCGCTGCCATTATGTACGCTTGCACAATAGATACCCATCTATACCTGTGCGTATAGCGTGAGCTTCATTAACCGTTCGGCACCGACCTATGTCGTGCGCTCGCGCGTGCACGCGGCCGATTATGTTATTACTTCATTTGCGACGTTCGCAGACTTTGGTGATTCCTCGAGGCCGAATTACCGTCGCGGATATGCAAGGCCGACTCAGTAATCAACGTCTTTCGGTTATCGCGTCATCGGAAAGTACGCGATACTGTTGATAGTGCGGGAAAACGTACGGACGGGTGTGCAAATTATTAAACTAAAATTAAAAAAAATATATATATATTCGATTAGAAAGTATAATTTTTAAATTTTTGTCATCATCAAGCGTAATAATTTGCAAACATTTATAATTTACCTACAACAAGTATAATATTTCACTCACTATTAATTATTACCGGAACATCGCACTTGCACTGAGAGTGTCCGCGCAATTTTCCTCACCGCCTCGTTGGAATTTTCGTAATATTCTGAGCATCGATTGTGCACGCGTCAGTGTACCACCACCACCCGCGGTGGGTATTTTTAGATTCCTGTTTCACGTCGCGCGAGATGCGGAAGTTGGCGATGGGGAGATCGCCGATCTTCCGAGCCGCAAATATGTTTTGCAACAACGACGCGTCGTCCATCGTCGTCGGATCGAGGCGCACGCGGCCATAAGCGAGTTGATTGATCGACTCGTTACACTTTGTGTATATCGCATCGATTGACCCGAGCTGTTACATGTGCGAAAGGCGTCACGGTGTCCGTCCGCATCGTTGACGACGACGAGGACGATCGACGACGACGGCATCTTGGAAAATCGGGCGAGTCGCAGGGCTGCGCGCGAACGTGTCGAACGTTAATTTTCTCACTTTCATGCGTGTCCGCGAGTCGCGATAAAACTGCGAATTATTGATCATCATTGCCGTCAGCTGCCCCATCCGCGTGATTAACCAGCGGCCGATCGATACGTCCGGCTCGATCGCGGCTCTCTCATCTAGCTTTTTATTGCGTGTCGTAACGGGACGTCTTACTTAATCGTCCACGACGATGATAATGTAATAAACCCGAGAGACTGACTTGCGCTTTCGTCGGAAACGGTTTTGCCGTCGAATTTGCCTTAATTGGCGTGTTCGTGCTGAGTGAATACGCGGCTAATAATGACACGCCGAAAAAGGCAGCCCGCCCGACGCAAGGGCGGCCTCGACGAGGTCGACATTTTTCATAGACCGCCGCGCGATATTAACACGACGAGGCCCCTGGCTGTTTCATTTTTCACGACGTGCCCGCACGTTCTGGCCAGGTTTCTTCCGGAGGTCTCGCGTGTCCACCCCCTCCAACCGTGTCGATGAGTCGCGTTCTTCTCTCCCCCTTTCGTGCCGCGAAATGAATGCGAGATCGCGCGAATCTTAATTCGCCGCCCGCGACGCGACTCAATTAAGCTCAGCTCGACGCTCTCCGAGACTCGGCCGGACAAACGGAGCCGTGTCGGCGATGATCATGATGTATCATCGCGGCGGGTTCGACGTGCCTCTCCTCCTGACAACACAAGCGCCGAAGGCGCACGCGGCCAGATGCGTGTGCCGGCGCGACCGAGAAGCGGCGACGACAGCACGTTTCGTCGGGGTTTTCATTAGCTCCCTGGTCACGCGACTTCCTCCTCCTCCCACCGTTCCGTCAGTTACGAGTTACACTCGTAAATATTCGACCGGGAGACGCGCGTCCGCTAATTATTCATAAATATCGTCGGCGGGAAACACTCCCGATTCCTCGAGGAAGGCGCACGCCGTGCGCGAGACATTTAACATGCAATTAGCGTAATTAATACGCCGCGTGGTAAATTTTGACGGGGCGCTGATTAGCTCGCCGCCCGAATGATATAATCGAGCTTCTTCCGGTTCGGCGAGAAAACTCGGAGCTTTCTCGGGAATGTCTCCTCCAAATTTCCCTCCCCGTCGTCGTGTTCGCGAAATCGACCTCGTCGCTGCGTTCTTTTCGGGCGGTCCGCGATGATCTCTCATATCGATATATCGCTAAATGTCTTATGACACTCTGGAGGATCGCGATTACGTAGACTTTATGTTGATTCACATGAGCTTTAATATATTGACATATTGTAATATTTGGGACAAAGCCGGGCGAAATGTCGCGGATTGGCATTTGTGAAATGTCATCGGTGTCGTTAGTACGTATGTTAAGAATGATATTTCAACACCTCTTTTTTTTTACTCTCAGTGACCTGGCTTCGATTTTCCCGAGACACCGCTGTACGAACGAATAACCTTGTCACTACTCGGTACTCGTAGTAGTTTATTCGGGTGCTCTGTTATTGATTACGAAGATCATGTGTCTCTTTCTTACATCATTTTTTCATCATTATCTTACCGTGATTTTTTATGGGAAGTTACAACGGTAAGATTAATGTGAAGAAGTGTTAGAACTTTTCATTTATATCATTCTTGACGATTTTTCACATACGATTTATCGAATCAAATGTAAGATTACATTTGATTCGATAAGATTACATTTGTCATTGCACACAAGTGGAATCAGATTTTACTAGTTTTCAATTTTTTTCAAGAATTCGAATTCGTACCGTGCGGACGCTCGAAGGCAAGACGTTTCGACATTTCCAGTGCAATTTAACATACAATTTCAAGATAATAATAATCTTTATGAGCAGCAAATATTCCCATTTTCCGAAACGAATATCTCAATTTTCAAAATTCGCCCTCCCCGCGGGAGCGCAATTCGACCGTCAAATTTCGATTAGGCAGCGAATCGACCGAACCCTCCAACGCGTACATTTTCCATCTCGCGTTTTCATTTTCCTCTCGACGCGGAAAACGCGAACCGCGGAAAAAAACAGTGTGAGAACGTTCCGAAGGAAAACAATGTTAACTTATAATCGCTTCTCTACTGTAATCGTCCATCATCCCTACCGCGAAGACGCGCGCGCCGGTTCGCGGCGGTCGCCGCGGCGCGCCGCCTCGCGCTCTCTCGTCGGTCACTTCAGTCAGTCTAGCACGGCGCGCGCTCTCGGACGAGTCGGCCTACGGTGGTCGCGCGCGAGCGAGTGAGTAGAATCGTCGGTCCTGCCGCGCCTATGACGTACGTGACCGGATGTAAGGAACAGTGACGAGCGATCGGTCGAAGTGCCTTATCCACTCGCGAGAGGAAGACTCGCCGTCTCCATCCTCTACGTTGGCCGGTCGCAAGCCGGGGATTTACGATAGTGCGAGTTAATTTCACCGGGTAGACTCCCCGGCTGAATATCGAGTGCCGACCATCCGTCGGATTTGTATTTCGGGATTTATATTTGGGACGATAGAAGCGGAAAGGGGGGAGAGAAAGAGAGAGGACTCCAGAGAGCCCCCCCCCCCCCC